TGTGTGTTTCTAATCAGGTGTGAACAAAGTGTTAGATGTGGTTGTGTGGTCTTATTTACACCGTTAGATCATTAGCACTGCACGGCTGGGGTTGTATCTGTGCAATCCATTTTTTACGGGATTTTCACGCTTGCTTAGGAAAGAAATTTTTTGTTCCGGGTTAATTGTGTAATATTATTCAATCAACGTTAATTGCAAAGATCCCTCCATGGGCGTTTTTATTTCAGACCATTGTCTACTGTACATAAACCCTTGAATCCTCGATGCCCGCGCTTTGCCCTCCGGTGGCTCCGACGGCTGGTCTGCGAAAGCCAGTGTCGGGAAATCAATTCCGTCGGTTGTGTGGTATGAGCGGCATCTCCTGCGATTCGAAGAATCCCCAGCGAAGCCAACCCCAACTGTGTGTGCCCCGGGTCTACCAGACGCAATGTCGGCCATCAGCCGTAAGCAGACTCCGAGCACCCGAACCGCCGGCAGTTCCACCGTCCCAGGTATGTTGTTTCCCAAAATTTTTTGACGCGTGTGTGCGACTCGGATTGGAGCAATCTGACTGTGAATGTCTTGCATGTGAAAGAGGAATTAATTTGCATAAGAATGTAGTGAGATATCAGTTTCTTAATTTCGGCACCACTTTATACTAAGTAAATTGGGATCGGATTACAAGGGGGTGTTTCTCTTGGAGGGTTCATGTGATCATGCTCTCATATATAAAGTGTTGATGACTAATCTATCTACCTACCTAGATAGATCAGTTATTGAGGGTTATTGAAAAACAATTAAAAAAAAGAGTTTTTTTTTTTTTTTTTTGGTAATAAATATTTAAAACTTTTTGCTTTTGACATACTGCTACACACAGTTTTTTTAAACCTCACACACATAGCATACTGTTCCTATCCCCTGCTGTTTTTACTATTACTGGTTATAAACTCTCACATTTTCCCCTTTGGTTATTTTGTTATAGGGTCTAAACGGCTGCGCGACGGCGTTGCGGGTGATGAGTGGCGTTGCGGGTGATGAGTGCATTACTACACGCTCCGGACGTAGTGTACACAATATAACAAGGACTACAGATGTTAATCCAGAGCGTCAGGCCAAGGGTAGGAGGGATAACGCTCCCGAACCTGAACTATCCCCGTTAGAGGAGTTTAAGTTCCCTTCATTCAACACCCGATGCACGCCCAAGGACCTAATTCATGCTTTTAACGAATTCAACGCTCAGCAAAGACATGCAGTAAACGACATGGGAATGGGAGCTATTTTGCGTTTAGAAGTTAATGAGATTCCATTGCAACTGGGCTGTTGGCTGGTCAGTGTGCTCAACCCCACCAACCTCACACTTAATGTCCAGCGCGAGACTGCTCTCCAGATCACAAGAGAAGATGTTAGTGCTGTTCTTGGGCTCCCACTCGGGTCAACAGAGATGGTATGCCGGCTAAGTCAAAAAGTGGAGCAGGAATTACGGGATTAGCAGTCTCAAATAGGAAAGCGATACAACACAATTACATTGAAGAAGGTATGTTAGGTGATGTTGTCCTGCAAGGACGGTGGAGTTTGGTTCAAGCGTCACTTCTGTGTGGCTGTTTTAATCGAAAGCACACAGAATGGTTACATCAACAAGCGGTTCCTACACCATCTTGATGATGTGAACAAGATAAACGACTTGGATTGGTGTGGTTATCTGCTTAAACGGCTGGTCAAAATGCACCATGACTGGGCCGAGGACAAGATGCAACGTTTTACGGGGCCACTCCAATTTCTAATGGTGGGAGACTCTTTGTTCAGTTTGAGTTGTTAAACGGCGTACCAATATCGAGTAGTTGTATATAGGTGCCTTATTATTTTCAATTTTTCCCTGATTTGTTTTTGCAGTTGTTCTATGTGGACAGAGTGGCGTTTGGCCCCCGGGTAATTCCTAAGAGTCTTCCTGGTGGTGATAATGAACCAAAATCGATTTAATATCGTAAAATAATATTTATATATACACACACAAGTATATAAAATATTATTTGATATTTATCCAAAATATATATATACACACAAATATATATAAAACGGATCCAACGGTTATATATATATATATATATATATATATATATATATATGTATGTATGTATGTATATCTACGAAAAAGATATACCAATATATATCAACCAAAAATTGGAACAAATAATCCTCAGATTATGAGTCCAATCCAACGGCAAAACAAATATGGAGAACGGATTTTGCTTAGAAGCATAATCCAAAACCGAAAGAAGGAAAAAATGGCTCGAGTTTGGGTAAGGGTTTTTAGCGTGAGTCAAGAGACCACTCTTTCCTTAAAACCTTATTTGCCACCTCCCAAAAGTGCTAGGAGCGTCGGGTCCTAGGTTTCCCAAGATAAAGCGCGCTACGGTTCGACGTTTGAGCACCCAAACGAACGGATCTGGCAAACGGAGCAAAGCCTTGAACACAGTTAGGCTTAAGAAAGGAGTAGAAGCAGAGTTTTTGAGGAGAGAAAACACTTCCTGTGTTGTGTGTTCTTGTCACTATGTGCTTAGAAAATCTGCTGCACTCTACCCCTTCTTATATAGGGATGTAGGTGCTTAATAGCATTAAACAAGGCCATTTAAACTTGGCTTTGTAACATCTGAAACAACATGCCATTACCCAGGATTTAAATTCAGAATTGAAATTGGAGTTAATTGAAAAATTAAATCCGTAACTGAATAATTTAATCCCACATTTATCTATTGGTATTCAGCCACCCCAGACTGGCTAAGTTTCGGCCCCAGGCCGAAACCATACTGCTTCAGTTTCGGCCTGGCCGAGGCCGAAACTACAAGCCAAGTCTCGGCCTCTCTGGCCGAAACTAACCAAGTTTCGGCCTGGCCGAAACTTCTACTTCAGCCAGTTCGGCCGAACCCAAGTGGCTACTCCCAACGCCCTATAATCGGACAAATCGGTTTGAGGACCTTTGAAACAGGCACCTTACTTCCAACGCCCTATAACCGGGCAAATCGGTCCGAGGACCTTTGAAACAGGCACCTTACTCCTGAAATGGGCACCTTACTTCCAATGCCGGTTTTTAACCGATCAAAATTGCCTACTTCATAGGACTTATGTTGAGATGTGATCCCGAACTTAGAGTGGCGGTGGTGGCAATACTAATCTAACCGGGCTTAGTACATTTAATTTTGCTATTACAATTTTCTAAGTATAATGCTATAACCTATACAATTACAATTTAAAATTAAATTACAAATTTTACAAATTCAACTTCACACAATATATTTGTGCAAGGAAGTCCAAGCTTATGCGGCCACCCCTTCACTTTTTCGTTTTTCTTCCTCTACAATATGAAGGAATTAAAGATTTAAGAAGTTGGACTCCAATAACAGGTTATGATCCAATGTCATGGCGTCAAGCTCCAAGTTTGTTATGTGGCTCTGTCATTCAAACTAAGTTGTAGCAAAAAACACCATATGGTGATACCACGGGTAGCATTGATAGACTTCACTTGAATGAAAGACCTATTGTGTATTTTTTTGAAAACAAAAGAAAAGAGGAAAACTTTGGAAGCTTACTAAACAGAACCCTTAAGAGTTGCGTATCAGGAAGACTTGAAAATGAGCATCCTTGATTTAGTTGATCTGAATAATCTAACTATTTTTTAAGTGGTACTCAGCAAACAAGCTTATCAAAGAATGATTTTTCTGCTCCAACCTTTCGTGTATGCTTTTTAGTGTACGGTGATCGGGTCAGGGTTAAATGTTCGAGTCAAAGTCAAAGAGCAATGTTTGGACCTATATAACGGCCATTCACTCACAAGCTAAGGGGGGACAGTTTCTCTTCCTTTCCTCTCCACTACTCCCTCTCTAGAAGGAGCAAATACCAATTTTGATCCCACGAGTATTAGCAAAATGACGGTTTTGGTCTACATGTTTAATTTCTACCAATTTTCATCCACGACTATTGTTTTAATACCAATTTTAATCCACGACTATTATTTTAGTACCAAAATTCATCACGTCGGTCACCCATCTATTTAAGACATCCCTAAATCTAAAAATTTTAAGGACATTTTCATCTTTTTCAACTTATGATTTCAATTTGAGCATAAATAAATGAATTTAAGCCCTAAGATCGATCTCAATTCGTAGTTCTCCTCCCCATCCTACATGAATTTGAAGAAGAAAACTGCGAATTGGGATAGATTTTAGGGCTTAAATCCCTTTATTCATGCTCAAATAGGGATCCTAATTTGAAAATCACGAAACTACCCTTAATAATTTCATATTTCGGCATGTCTTAAACGAAGGGGTGACCGACGTGATGAATTTTGGCACTAAAACAATAGTTGTGGATGAAAATTGGTACTAAAATAATAGTGGTGGACAAAAATTGGTAGGAATTAAACATGTGGACCAAAAATATCATTTCGTTAATACTCGTGGAACCAAAATTGGTATTTGCTCTCTCTAGAAGTGTCTCTCTACTCTCTTTTTGGACAATATATTCAATATTAGAGGCTCTTTGAAGCCAATTTCTAATATTTCCTCTTATTTTCCTATATCTTCATACAATTTCTATACACATAAAACAAACCAACTACAATTTGTTCCATCATCAACTATTAACTAACTAGCCCCTAAAGTTGACTAAACCCGTTAATAATATTAACTAAATAATGAATTTATTGAATATAATAAATGAATTAAGCTTGCTACAACTACTAAACACAATATTACAATACATCAACTTAGTGAAATTCAAACACGTAATTTTGAGTTAACTACTATATGATGACAATCCTATTACATGGTTCACGTAATTTTAAATTTTATTAATTATTTATTGGTTGCCGGGCAAATTAAACTCAAAAATAAAAAGGTTAGCAACACAAATACGGAAACCGTTGTCAAATTACATCAAATGAAATGATGGATATTTTCCTTTTGGTTTTTCTGCTCAGAAAGAAAACGAAAAATAAAAATAAAAATCTGAGCTAAGTGCCAAGTTGGCCAAACCGTCACCACTTACACGGGTCACGACGCCCCCCTAACACAAGAAGAAGAAGAAACAGACTTGAAACGAGTCGACAGGCCAATCCTTCTCTTCCCTCTTTTTCAGCAGCCGACGAAACACTCCCCTCCACTTTCGTCGCTCCCGCGGCCGTCCTCCGCCGTCTCATAAACCCTAGCGGCTCCCTGAAATTAGGATATGCAGGCCTCGTCAGTTATATTCAACACCAAGCCTGTTTTGGCTCCTGTCCAAGTCAAGTCTCTACACAGCGATCCATCTTTACCGTCATGCTGCTCTTCTTCTAGGCTGCTTTCACCTCCTCCTAATTGGACTCAGCTGAGGAGGAGTGTAGCTCTTCGCTCGAATCGGCATCTGCACCATCGAGCTTATCTTCTTAAAAATAAGGTAGGATTTCGTCATTTTTTATTATGTTCACATATTAATGGAATTTTTTTAATTTTTAAATTAGTATCGTTTTTGCAGTAAGTTTGGTACTGCTGTGAATTCTGAACTATAGTCTGCTGCAGTTTTCTGCTTACTTGGGGAGAAATGATTTCTCAGCACTTTGCGGATTTAACACGCTGATTGTGTTGTCTAAGTTATGATATTGTGCTTCTTTTAAAATTATCTGTATTTGAAATGAGTTTTACTGAACTGTAATGGTGTGGCTAAGAGTTTGACTAGCTGGTAATTTATGCGGAGTTATGATGGGTAGGGGATTAATGGATTAGAGGGGATAGAAGCATGTATTTATCTTGTATATATTATATAATATAGCCTCAACAGTTGTACTAGAAAGAAGTTATTTCAGTTATTTGAACATTTCTCTTCCAATATTACATAATCCTGCCGCTGCAGATAGCTTACAAATTTGTGTCATTATGGCTTTATATGAGTCCAGATGTCTACTACTTGCTTTCATTTGGTTATATTTTTTTAGCTCTCTTCTCTCTCTTTCCTCACTACTTATTGTTCTTTTTGCCCAATTGCAGAATTCAGTGAGAAGATATCTATCTCAGTCTGAGGAACTGTCACCACAAGCAAATTCGCAAAATAGATGTCCACACGTGTCATGTTTCCGTCACCTGCAAAGAAAGCATACTGGCATCAACAGATTGGCAACTAGAGCCTTTCTTGATAAATCGACGTGTCATTTGTCAAAGCTGAAGCCTAATAATGTATCTGTAAGTAAACTGCTTGCAATTTTAATTGGAGGTCAAATTCTAATTGTAGCTACTATCTTAGGTCTACTTAGGAAGTCTAACACACACACACACGGATATTGATTTTTTTTTTCTTTTCCAAATACATCTGTTTCATCACCGAAAGACATATTTGTATGTGATATTTTTCGCTTTAGAACTGAATGGACTAAACTATACATGTTGCAAAGAATAACTGAAAATTTCATATAGATGTGTTTACATTTATTTTAATTATTTATCATTCTTCATCTCAACCTCTGTACCTCATAGTATAAACAGTTCACTCATTTAGCCTTTATTTGCATTTTTTGTTGATTATAAATAAAAGAACTTAAAGGCAAGTTTGAAAGAACAACTGTGTTATTCCCCAAGAGTGGAACTATCTGGTAAACTAATCTATGTATACTTACAGGTGAAACAACCTCATGTTCCACGTGCATCTGTTGGCCCAGATGAGCCACATGCTGCAAGTACTGCCTGGCCGGATGGTGTACTAGAAAAACAGTCTTTGGAATTGTTGGATCCTGAGGCAGAAAGAGCTGAGTTTGAGCGCTTTTTATGTTCTGAACTTCCTTCTCACCCGAAATTATATCGAGGACAATTGAAAAATGGACTTCGATACCTCATTCTACCTAATAAGGTTCCTCCAAATAGGTATCATCTTATTCATAATGTTGATATGAACACAGGGATTCCATTATCACTAATTTTAGTGTGTAATTGCTTATGCTAATTGGATATGGGGTAGGGAAAACCTTTAGACATTTGAAAAAGAGACCATCACATGGGGATAGTGACAAGGAGTTGTAATATTAATCTTTTTAAAATTCAAAATACTAAAGTGAAAGTTAATATATCACTCTTAGGATGCATTTTTTTTTCCCCTAGTGTCTACCCATGTATCAAAGTGCCCAACTGCCACTTCTTGTCATTAGGATACTAGCATTAGTCCTGGAAATGTAACATCTGAAAGCAGAGGTAAGGTTGCATACACTTGTTTTTTCTAGAGCTTGCAAGATCTGGGTCTTGTGCATTTGATCCATCCTTTTATCCATTTTTGCATCATACATAACTCATTATATGAAGATGACAGTTTTCTGCTCGAATAGTTATTAGATGAGCTGTCTCAACCTAGCTGTTGGCTTTTGGATGCATCATGCAGAATATAATAAACCATGTTTTGTAATGACTAAATTGATGTGCCATATTATCATGGCAATTGTGTCTCAGTTCTCTTTACTTCTAACGTTCCTGATAACCTCACTGCCAAAGGTGATAAATATTTTCTGAGTCTTTCCTTTGAATCTAATTCTCATAGATTTGAAGCACACATGGAAGTTCATGTTGGATCCATTGATGAGGAAGATGATGAGCAAGGAATTGCTCATATGATTGAACATGTTGCATTTCTTGGAAGCAAGAAACGAGAGAAACTTCTTGGAACAGGGGCACGCTCAAATGCCTATACAGATTTTCATCATACAGTGTTCCATATCCATTCACCTACAAGTACAAAGGTATGTCTTCTCATGACAATGGGGAAAGTTTGTTTAAAATATTGCAATTGTTCCCTCCCTATATGGTTGTAATGAATTGGAATTCTTTCTCTAGGATTCTTCTGAAGGTGATTTACTACCAGTTGTCCTAGATGCTCTGAATGAGGTAGAATACTATTTCTTTGTAGTTATTGGTGGATGCATTGATTCTCTGAATTTGGTTAAGCATCTTGCTTCCATTAATTAACTGCACAACTATTGTGTTTTCCACTTTTTATGATTTGTGAGTAAATCATACAATGAGAGCTGATAAGGTTTGTTTGTTCTTTTTGTTTTTAATTAATTAATTCATTAACTTGTAGATAGCTTTCCACCCTAAATTTCTTGCTTCGCGAGTTGAGAAAGAAAGACGAGCAATATTATCAGAGCTGCAAATGATGAATACAATTGAGTATCGTGTTGATTGCCAGGTATTTTATCAGAGGATATTTTCACAACCTACTTTCTGCTCCTTTGTCAAATCATTGAATAATTTAAATCTATTTCTTATTATTATTATTATTGTTTTTTTTTTTTTTAAACTGCAGTTGTTACAACACTTGCATTCGGAGAACAAGCTGAGTGAAAGGTTCCCAATTGGATTGGAAGAGCAGATTAAGAAATGGGATGCTGATAAAATCAGAAAATTCCATGAGCGTTGGTATTTTCCTGCAAATGCCACATTGTACATTGTGGGAGATATAGATAACATTCCCAAGACAGTTGACCATATTGAAGTACGTATTGTTCTTCACAGATGCATGCAGATTAGGAATTTGTTCACCTCATACATCTCATGCTTTTACCATATAACTGTTTACTTAGTAGTTACACCGCAAGTATTCTGCAGGCTGTTTTTGGGCATAGTGGTGGGCAGAGTAACATGGAAAATGGGGCAGGTGCTGCACCTACACCAAGTGCATTTGGTGCAATGGCAAGTTTCCTTGTCCCGAAATTGTCAGTAGGTTTGGCTGGAAATACATCTCATGAAAGGTCCTCTGTCTCCATTGAGCAATCTAAAACTTTTAGGAAGGAGAGACATGCTGTTCGGCCTCCTGTACAACATAATTGGTGCCTTCCCGGTAGCAATGAATATGTAAAGCCTCCACAGATATTTCAGCATGAATTGCTTCAGAATTTCTCTATCAATATGTTCTGTAAGGTACAAAACAGGCAGGGTAATTTGCTTATTTGTTTAGTCTTTTAAATTAAAGAATCTATATATATACAAATATTTATTTATGCACAAAAGAAGCATGAGTTGTCTAAACTGTTGCACTGTCTTCCTTCCAGATTCCAGTGAACAAGGTCCGAACATATGCTGATCTGCGGAATGTGTTGATGAAGAGAATATTTCTTTCTGCTTTGCATTTTCGCATTAACACAAGATACAAGGTGCAGTGGGTTTATTTGAACACTTTTGCTCTTGATCTGCTGTTGTTATTAAGATCTAATATTGCAATTATTGCACCGAAGCAAACTTGTTTCCATGGGTCATCATTGAATAATGTTGAAATTACTATCTTGTTAAATATCATGACTTCTAACAAGTTTAAGTGACCTAATTTGATAAAAAGAAAGACAATCCACTATTTGTTGTGTTACTTGTTGAAGGGCGTCCTTTTGTCTTTTCCCTTAAATCATAATTTTTGTTTTACAAAATTGTAAAGGAAGTATTATTTTAAAGAGTTAATATATCTTTGGTTTAGAGAGTATCTGGTTCTGGTTTGTACTTTTAATCTTACTGGATATGTGCTTGTCTTTGTCTTCTGCTAATTGGAGGAACTTTTCAGAGTTCAAATCCCCCATTCACATCAGTAGAACTGGATCATAGTGATTCTGGAAGGGAAGGATGCACTGTGACCACTCTTACAGTGACTTCTGAACCCAAAAATTGGCGGAGTGCAATTAAAGTTGCTGTTCAGGAGGTTTGTGCTGTTCTTTTAGTTTGGTACTAGCATTTTCTTGAAAATCAGACCAATGCACCTGTTTGGTCAACAGTATTTTTTCCATTTTATTTTAAGTATTTTAAAACGAAGACGTATCTTTCTGTATAATGCTTAAATTGTTTGTCAGTATTGTAAAACTTGCCTCCATTTGTTCTGCTATTCACATCATTTTTCTGCAACAAGGTCCGGAGGCTCAAAGAATTTGGTGTCACAAAAGGTGAATTAGCTCGCTATTTGGAAGCACTAATTAAAGATAGTGAACAGTTAGCGGCTATGATTGATAATGTTTCATCTGTGGATAATCTGGATTTCATTATGGAGAGTGATGCACTTGGCCATACTGTGATGGATCAAAGGCAAGGCCATGAGAGTCTACTTGAGATTGCTGGAACAGTTACTCTTGAGGAGGTAATTTTAATTTGTAGGACAATCAACTATACAATTGCTGTAATTTTATTTTATCTAAATTAAATTAATGTTTAGTATTTAATTGTATGATTTTTTAAGTAAAAAGCCACTGACATACATATAGTAGTTAATATTTTTCTCAATAAAAAGTTAGAGGCAGAAACTGTTTTTGTTACTTTGGGCACAAGGGTCGTTTTTTTTTGTTACTTTAGTACTTTAGTGGCCTCATAATGAATAGGGACCATTTTCACCACTTTGTGTGTGTGTGTTGTAGGCTGGTTTTACTTTGTGAAGATATTGTTATTGATGTTTTCGAAGAAATCTTAATCCTTGAACATTTGTCTCAGGTTAATTCTGCTGGTGCAAAGGTATTGGAATTCATATCTGATTTTGGAAAACCATCTGCACCCCCTCCTGCTGCAATTGTTGCTTGTGTCCCAAAGAAGGTGCACATTGATGGAGCAGGAGAAATGGAATTCGAGATAACAGCAGATGAGATAATAGCTGCAATTGAAGACGGTCTGAAGGAACACATAGACCCAGAACCAGAGGTGCCTATTCTTAAGAGCTTTTTTCTTGTAATATACATGCAATAGTGCTACTTATAAATATATATATATATATATATATATATATATATATATATATATATATATGTGTGTGTGTGTGTGTGTGTGTGTGTGTGTGTGTGCGTGCACGCGCGCATATATACACATGCACTTGTGCCCTACTGCAAGAGTGGTAGAGACTAGGGAAGGGGGGAGGATTTGGAAATAAACCCCAAACAAATGGATTCTTTTATTTGCACTTGCTTTATTGACTTCAGTTTTATTTCTTGACTTGTGCAGCTTGAGGTACCAAAGGAATTGATTGCCTCAACACAGCTGCAAGAACTAAGGTTGAATTCAAAACCATCATTTGTAACCATCAGTCCAGATGTAGATGATACAAAACTGTATGACAAGGAAACAGGTATCGTTCAGCGGCGCCTTTCAAATGGAATTCCTGTAAATTACAAGGTATGTTTTCTTTGAATTTATTTTTGTTTCCTGCTCAATACTGCTATGTAACTTTTTCTGTTCTGGTATCAATGAGAACTTATATTTGGTTTCACTATTTCATTGTTATCATAGGGGATTGTTTCCAGAGCGCATCTAAAGTAATTTCAAACAATGTGCAGTTTATGGAATATTAGTTGAATGCCATTCAATTATGTGGATGTGGATGCATTGCTAGGCACTAGTTAAAAAAGTTTGCACATTGCATCTTAACATTTGTACATGGTTGTCTTGGCTGTTAGCTGCAATTTCTTATGGAAGCTCTCAATTATCTACTTTTTGAATATCACTGCACTACTGCAGTATGGACTGTATCATTTTTTAATAAAAAATTGCATTTTGATTGATAGATATCCAAAAATGAAGCCAATTGCGGAGTTATGCGGCTCATCGTTGGTGGCGGCCGTGCAGCTGAAACTCCTGATGCAAAGGGAGCTGTTATTGTGGGTGTGCGGACTCTAAGTGAGGGTGGTCGTGTTGGAAACTTCTCAAGGGAACAGGTGATGGTGAAATTATTCCTTTTTCCTTGCCTTTGTATTTATGCCCTGCTATTTTCTGTTTGATGGGAGTGTCTTTCTGTGGGGTTGGGGAATTATGAGTAGAGCAATTGTGTTATTATCATTGCATTCCTGTGTTATTTATGCCCTTGTGAACTGCACTTGAATTTCCTCAATGCATTATTTTCCTGATGTTTAATATATGTCTCCAGGTGGAACTTTTCTGTGTAAATCACCTGATAAATTGTTCACTGGAGTCAACAGAAGAATTTATCTGCATGGAGTTCCGATTCACTTTGAGAGATGATGGGATGCGTGCTGCCTTCCAGTTACTTCATATGGTACTTGAGGTAATTGCACTGGAGTCTTTTCTAGAACTCTGAGGCACCAGTATAACACATCATTAATATGCATAGGTGATTATGTTGTTTGATCATCCTCCCTTTCTATCATACATCACATCCTGCCCCTTGAGTCAATTTTGGGTTTAATAGGAGTTGCAAAAGGCTATTCAGTTAACCTTATACAGTTATACCAATCCTTCATGTTGTGAATCTGTTCCATCTTATGCTTGTACAGATAAAAAATGTCATTATTTCACTTCCCATAGTTGGATTTTTGTGGGCTATAATTGCTATTGCTGGTGTTTTTATCTGCCATGAGGCCACATTTTTATATTATAGTCACATCCTAATCGTTTTCAAACATTAATTATTTGCAGCATAGCGTTTGGCTAGATGATGCATTTGATAGAGCACGACAGTTATATTTGTCATATTATCGGTCTATTCCAAAAAGTCTAGAACGTGCAACTGCGCATAAGCTCATGCTAGCTATGTTGAATGGAGATGAGCGCTTTGTTGAGCCAACACCACATTCATTACAAAACTTGACTTTGGAAAGTGTAAAAGATGCTGTGATGAATCAGTTTGTCTGCGACAATATGGAGGTTTGTTGTTTTTGTATGTTCTTGAAGAAAAGTGAAAGCTATTGGTTGCTTTATTGTGAAGATCCATATGCCAGTGATTTCTCGTCTTGATGTTACTAAATTTATTCATTAGGTGTCTATTGTTGGGGACTTCTCAGAGGAGGATATTGAGTCATGTATCCTTGACTATCTGGGAACAGTTAGAGCGACAAGAGGTTTTGAGAGAGCACAGAAATACAACCCAATCATATTTAGACCATCTCCTGATTTGCAGCATCAACAAGTGAGAAAACATTTCTTTGGATGGGATGGCGTTGCTCCTGTTCTTTTAGCTTTCTAAGTGTCCCTTGGTTGTATAATTTGATGTATTGCGCATTAACTGATTCCTTTCCGCACTAAATATTACGTAGTACTTCAGACATATTGACTTATTGCTTTTCAGGTATTCTTGAAGGACACAGATGAGAGAGCCTGTGCTTATATTGCAGGTCCTGCCCCAAACCGTTGGGGATTTACTTTTGAGGGGAAGGATCTTTTTGAGTCTGTTAGTAATGCTTCCACTTATAATGGTGAGTTTTATAGTTTTTAACACTTCTTCTAAGTGGCATCTAGGCTACCAAATTAGCTCTCAGAGAAGGAGTACCTGTTGTGTCTTTATTCGTTTAGGTTTTTTGACCAAGTGTTAGAGCCTTAGAGCCTGTAGATGAGAGGATTGTGAGGTTTTACAGATGGTAATAAATTGTTTTTCAGGTGAGCAACTAAAATCTGGGGAACAATCCAACAAACTGGAGAATGTGGAAAATGGCCTCCAAGGAAGATTTCACACTCATCCATTGTTCTTTGCCATCACTATGGGTTTATTGGCTGAAGTAATAAACTCCAGGTAATCTTCTTTCCATGGTTGGAATAATTAGATCAATTTGGGCTTGCTTATTTCGTGTTTATGTTTGTGTGTGGGTGTTGTGTTATGCACTGATTAGCTTGCCAGTAAGCATAACATATTGTACCATGGCTATTCAGAAGATGCCTGCAGTAAAAAGCTCAATTTACATTCCCAAACATTTTCTTGTATTCCTCTGCATTGGAAGCAACTACCTGCATTTTCCATGCTCTTCATGCAGACTTTTTACAACAGTCAGGGATTCTCTTGGATTAACATATGATGTTTCATTTGAACTAAACCTGTTTGATCGCCTGAAGCTTGGGTGGTATGTGATTTCAGTGACATCAACCCCCAGTAAGGTATGAACTTAGCATTTATTTTATCATATATTGTTTTGCCCATTTATTTTCTAACTTGTTTAGGATGGTGATGTACATACAGGTCCATAAAGCTGTTGACGCTTGCAAAAATGTCCTAAGAGGTTTGCATAGCAACAGGATTACACCGAGGGAGCTGGATCGGGTTAGTTTCCTCACAAAATTTCTCTAGAATTTAGGGTGTGCTTCTTAGCCAAGGTTGCTTCTTCTTTTGGTATTTTTGGTGATAAATTTGTGAAGCTGTTTGAATTTTCATCACATTTTAAGCAGTCAAATGCAGAGAATAATCGTATTCAATTTGCTTCTTGTAGTAGGATATACTTTTTGCTCTTTAACTAGCTCAATGCTTCTTAATATATGATTTTATATTTAAAAAGAAAAAATTATTGTGACTGGCATTCCTTAAAGTTATGATTCTTTTTTCCCTGTAGGCAAGGCGAACATTGCTCATGAGACATGAAGCTGAGATAAAATCAAATGCTTATTGGCTTGGGTTGTTAGCTCATTTGCAAGCTGCATCAGTACTCAGGAAGGTGAAGTAACACATCTTTGTTTCTACTTCTTCTTCTTCTTTTTTTTTTTTTTTTTTTTTTTTTTTTTTTTTTTTTTTTTTTTTTGGTGTAATGGGAGAAATTAGGTAATTACATGTTATCACCTGAATAGTGAACTTGTTGTCTGTACTTCAGGTTTTTAATACTTTTTCTTTCTCTTCTCAGGACATCTCATGTATTAAAGAGCTGACTTCACTATATGAAGCTGCCACTATTGAAGACATATATGTTGCCTATGAACAGTTGAAGATAGATGAAAATTCCCTGTTCTCTTGCATTGGAATTGCTGGGGTAAATGCTGGAGAAGACATATCAGGTAAACTGGTTCGATGATGTACTCCACCATAACTAAAAGTCTACCCTACTATATAGGGAAGACATTTATTACTCCATACAGTCATACAGTACACACTATCCTTGACAGCGTTCTATAATATGTATTTAAATTGCTTAAAGTCTCCCTCATTCTGTCTGCCATTGTGGGATAGTAAATCTAATTAGTTTGGGAAATATGTTGATAGTTTCTAATTTTAATCCTAAAAAGAGGGAAATAAAAGAAAAAGGAAAACTTGTTTTTGAGAAGCATAATGGCATAGGAATTAGGGGTGATTTTCTCATTTTTACTTTTATTTTGTAAACTTGGTCTGAGTAATTTATTTGGGTCCGTGGTAACTATTTCTTACTCATCAGGATTGCAATACACTTTTACTCATTTTAATCATCTAAAACTTGAATGATTTTAATATCTGCTATTAATCTTCTCCATTGTGTTGACTTCTATTTTGACTTTTGGATTTTATAGTACCTATAGAAGAGGAAGATTCAATCGATGGCCTTCCTAATGTTATTCCCATGGGACGTGGTTCATCTACAATGACACGGCCAACAACTTGAGGGGTGGTAGAAATTCTTTGAAAGACAGATTGTATGAGGTATGTTTCTTTTGGTCATATATCTTATACCAGTGTAATTATATTCCTTGGTACTAAAATAAATGGAGGATGCTAATAGGATAAAGGTCTTGATGTATATAGGCAAAATGATAAAAACACTAATCCATTTGGTTCGTGGAAAAGAATTGAGGGGGAGTTGAATTTAAATTCCATGGTAAAGAAATTACTCGGAATATTGATTTCATTGTTTGGTTGGTGGGAATAAGTTGTTGGAATAATTAGTATAAAGACTCAAATGCCCCCACATAATATAGATATGTGGGTAATATAGGAATTTCAAGTTGCATCTTTTATCCCAAAAAGTATGGAAAATAAAATACCGAAGGAGACTAAGGAATTCATTTTCCCCAAATTTGAGGATTTCATTTTCCATGGAATAAATCCTCCCATCAACCAAACAAGGTAAAATATGTTTTTCAAATTTGAGGAATAAATTCTCCCAAGAACTTATTTTCATGTAAACAGTTAAACACTAAATACTTTCTAATGCAAGCCACCTATTCTTAAACACCATTCCCTACTGGCTGGTTAACTTCGCCTTTTTGTGCAATAAACTAACTTCAATTGTCTTGTTTTTGAAATCTCTATGCACTCTGTTGCAATTAAAATTACATGTCAAGCCTTTAGTTACAACTAACAAAAGGTTGTAATGTTTAAAAGTTGAGATTGAGGTGTTCTATTTAATAACACTCTAGGCATTAATATTGACTAGCACGGATTATACTATAATTGATGTCTCGATTAGGCAGTGTGGTAACATATCATTATCTCTCTAGATTACTACTGGCACTGATATATATATGATCTCAAATTGTGAAATATGTAATGAGACTTAATTAGAGGTTTTATATATTAATCCAGTGACCTATAGGACACTTGTCAGTGCTTTTGCTGGGTAGAAGCCGTATGTCCACTGGCAGAATGTGTTATATATGCCCTTGACAGGGTTGTGCAGTCATTTCCAACCATAGAGAAGGTGCAGGACAGCAAGCTGCCACTCGCTACGGTATACAGATTAAGTCTTGGTGCTGACTCGACGCTAGGGCTTCATGAGATTACTAGGTCCCCATTGGTTATGGCATTGAATGGACAGAAGTATAGTCTAACTTTAGTGAAACTACAATTTCATATGTACCCAAGTAATGTTCTTTACTCACTTCAATAGGATTTATATACGGAGTACTAATTTTTTCATCATGAAGCCAATATTAAATTCAGTAGTACAGCAGCCAAATTGTATGTATGGATTCATAATTCTTTCCTGGCTTTTTCTTGTGCTAAAGTTGTATTATGCACACAACTTTCACTGCTTACAAAACATATATAAATATATTTTCCTCCACTCTTCTGTTGGTGAATTGCTGTGTGTATACCTAAGGTTGAAAGAATCTTTGATATGTCACATCTTTAATTCCTTTTTTATGCATCAGCCAGGGAAGATGATGGTTGAACACTTGGAACTCTTCTTAATGTAGGTGATCAGATTTTGTACGATAGCTTTGCATCATGAAAACATTTTTTTTTATATACTTTGGTTGTGTGGATTCTTCAATATTGCTTGGTGACGCATATTTTTGTTTGATTATTCAAAAGCCCCTTTTAATTTGTTTGACCAGATGGGAGAGATTTAGCATTCACGGGAGCAGAAAGGATAGCATGGCTTCAAAAGTTGGCAATAACTTTGGCGGTGGTTATCGTGACTTGTCATATATAAAGCAATTGCCAATTGGAGTGTCATTTGTGGGTGCTTTTAGTAATTAGTGCTCCTTGTCATGCTTGCATTTGTATGCATTATCGGATGCGTGGGTGTACAGCAACCAATCTCTTGTGCTTCCCAATCCATCAAAAGCCCGAATACCGAATTTGATAATTGATTAATATGGGACCTTTTTAACCAATCATCTCTTCACGCGTCACAAGATTCGCACCTATTATTTTCCTGCTTTTATCCTTTTCTAGGTCTAGTCATGCACTGCTAGAGCCACCAATGTTTGCACGCCAAACATGCCATATTTCAGTGTTAGAGCAAAGTTCAATAGTTGTAGAATTTTTTTTTTTAGGTTTTTGAAGGAAAAAAAAAAAAAGAAAAAGAAGTAAGGTGGTTGCTAGTTAGGGCATCCTCAATAGTGAGGATGTTGATATAGTTTTTGAGTATTTTTTGGAAGTGTGATTAGGAAAGAGAAATGAGTGAAAATGAAAAAAAAGAAAAGGAAAAATAAAAAATAAAATAAAAAATTGATTTTTTTTTAAATGTAATTACGTGCCCAGGCGGGCGCGTGGACTGCACGTGCCCGCCTGGGCGCGAGAGTTCGTGAGGCGCAACTCTCCTTCCTCAGTGAGTCCCACCAACCCTTGCAAAACCCCCAAATTTGCACGACCAACCCACCTCTCTCTCCTCTCTCCTCCACATACCCATTTTTTCTTAATTCTTGTGCAAAATCTCCTTGTTGGGGTTGCTCTTATTATGCCCCGATGTGCTTGTGGCTGGTTTTTTATTTTTATTTTTATTTTTAAAATCGTGCCATGTATGATTGTAATAGAAAAATTGGTTCCATATTTCTCTCGTTTCTCCTCTATCTAAGCTAAAATTCTTCAAACAATGGAGAGAAACTCTCATTGGAGTTGTTCTTACAAGAAATTTTTCATTACACGCCTTGAGTCTTTGTTCATAGGTCCAAACTAAAACTAATTTTATAAGGTTATGCTATAATTTCTTGTAAGGTTATTTATCCTTAATTGTTTGAAATGTTAAAAAATGAACATAACTTATTATGGAGAATGTATACATTATGTATTTTAATTGAAAAATTATTAGAGAATTAACTCTTAATCACTAGTTTACATTTAAATAATACAAATTCACAACATTTCATTTTGGATTGTCCTAAAATTAAACCAGTATACAAGGACATAACAAGCGAGGGAAATGGACATTTTCCCAAAAAAAAAAAAAAAAAACAATATTGTGGAGTAGGTACTATTTGTGTGACTTCATAAAGTAATGTAAAACTTAATTGATGATATTAAAATTTTTACAGTATTTTAATGATTGTTGACAAAAGACTATTTAATTAATTACTCTAAATTTTACACTTTTGCAAGAATTCTTTATACAACTATACTTTTTAAGTGATTGATTTTTTTTAAATATACAATATCCAGTATCCTCACCACTATAAAATTAATCTAAATTTGGTACAAGTTGCACCCGAAAAATTTATTTCTTACTTGGAGGAAAGTCTAGTCTAAAACTTTTTAATATGACCTAACTTTTACAAGAATCAAACTCTCAACATTTCAGTTGTATTAAAAATGTGCTTAACAATTGTTCCAAACTACGGAGGGCATAAAAAAATTACACATTTCCTCAATTTTCATAAATATTCTTAGAAGACCTTGATTCCTATAGTGCTAGTTGGGCAAGCTCATGACCCCCATCAATCATATACTTGGTAAAATATAAAGCTTAACAAGTTGTTAATAACAACATTTTAGTTTTTTACTAAAATCTTGTTTACTCTCTAACATAAAATTATCTATAAATTTAGAAAAGAAAAAAGGAACAATTTGTTCTAACATCATTGTTGTTTTTCATAAGGAAGGTCTCATATTCAAGTCTCATCACAATCAATGGTCTACACAATTTGCTGAGCAGATACTATAATTAGGTTAGAGTGTACTAAAAAAAAGACTCCATTATAAATTGAAAAATAATAATGTACGTAATAATTAAGCACAAAAAATAATGCTAAATAGTGGAATCCAATGCTGACTGCCCTCCACAAAGGGTTCAAAGTTGAAATAATGGCAATAAGAGCATCCACAACGGTAGAATTATTTTGTGATTTTTGAAGAGTTTTTGTAAGTGTGATTAGAAAAGAGAATATGAGAGGGGAGAGAAAAAAAAAACAAAACAAAACTAATTTAAAAAAAAAAAAAAAACACATTGTTAGATGCCCCCGTGTGGACACTTGTTGTGCGCGAAACGTGCACAACCTCAACCTTTCCTCTCCCTTCGTTACTGTTCCAAAAACCTTTCCTAACAGATGAATCCAATCTCTCTCTCCAATTTATCAGAAATAACTACCGATATTGATGCTATAGCACTATAATTGTGCACGTGATTTATTACAAAGGTATCTTTTTTGGTTTCTTTAGTTGTTGCCAAAAGATTGGAAGTTCCCAGCTCTGAAATACACTCATTAATTAATACTACAAAATTATATTAGTGCTCCTTCTCATGCTCCCACTGTAGCCTTTTTATTTTTTAAAATTTCTTTTTTTTTTCTTGAACTTTTATTTATTTAGTAAATAGAGAAAGTGCAAACCTTAATTTAATAGAAGAATAAAACACTAGTGACATGGCAAGTGCAACCCTTAATTTCATTCGAAAGTGAGTTTTCATCTCCATAATTTCATCGCTTGTAAAATGACATGGCTAGATGTTATGTCATTTAAAAAATAATAATTATGTGACTTGCAAACATTGCAATACTGACAAAGGCAGTCAAAGTCACGATAGTGGGTCTACTATTTCCCTTTTTATTTGTTATTATTAATATTAATATTATTATTATTGTTGTTGTTGTTGAATTGAAATTGCATGGATGTAAATAAAATAGTGAGTAAATTGAAAATATGATGATATGGTGTAGTGTCTATTTTTGAAAGTAAGATCTATTTCTTAAAGTGAGAGACTACTGCAAGACGCTATGATGTTCAATCCAGTATGATTCTAATTAAATTGTTGGGACAAAAAAAAAAAAGTAATATGATTGTAGTTTGTTTGAGTATGAGTTTTGATTCATATGGTTGAGTACAAACCAACCAAACCTACCATTCATACCTCATTCTTCTCGTTTTCTTTCTCTTATTGGGTGTAATAATTGACATTTCCTACATGCCATGACTTTATATATACTCCATATTGATGGCACATGGAATAATACTTATCCATCCAATAGTGTGTGTGTGTATTTTATATATATATATATATATATATATATATATATATATATATATATATATACTGGTTCAATTGCCAGTGCAGATTGCACCATTAAGTATGCATAAATGCAATGTATGGTGTTCGAAAAAAAAAACACTAGAATGAAATACACAAATGCACCACACACAAAAAAATCACCACACCTGATGGTGCATTTTTGAACACTTTGTGATGCATTTATACGTAGCTAATGGTGCGTGACCGTATGACCGCACGGGAACGTGATATATATATATATATATATATATATATATATATATATATATATATATATATGTGTGTGTGTGTGTGTGTGTGTGTGTGTGTGTGTTTCTTTACAAAGAAATTGCATTGAACTTGAAAGGAAAACAAATTTAATAGGATTTGCAACAACATAATAAACTAAATATTTGTTGTTGATAAAATGAAGATAAATCCTAATAGTAAAGTACTAAAGTGTGATACTCAACCCTCTAAATTTTTTTAATAAAATATTACTTTTACGTGAAATAATTTTTTTAATGCAGGACAACCATAATTTATCTAATGAATAATAGAAGAAATGGTATTCAAACTTAGTTCATATCTACTATTTGAACAACTCTAAACCTAATAGGGAGTTAGTATACTAAGAAAAATAGAAAATGAACCAAAATACAGTTACAATTGAATCTTTCGACCCCACTGACTAATGTTATTATTATAGGTGGCAAGATATTTTACAAGACAATCATTAATCGTATGACTAATGGAGAAAATTGTTCCTATAGACAACTCAGTTGGTCACAAAATGAAATTTGAAAATAATGATCTGAGATCGAGTCTCACCAGCAGCAGCATGAAGCAATCTCGCACCATTGTGCTAATTTACATTTTCCAGATGCTTTGTCGGATCGGGGCCTGGAGAGCCATTGGAATTGGAAATTTAACATTTTGGAAATAAAGTAATGGAGGAAATAAGACTTAACTCTAATGAGGACAATCATAATGAGTTTGGTAATCACAAGATTTCAATTTTACTTTCCGGAGCATTTGTCTATTGACCTTCTTGATTTGAACCTGTTATGGACAACTTATATTAATTTATCTTATTGTATTTTACTTATTATACATATTTAAATAGTGATTGTGAATTTTCTCATAAATCAAAATTAAGTAGGTTACACTGGAATCATTTGACCCCACTTGGCCATTTTTTTAAAATCATAGGTCGCAAGGTATTTTGCATACTTCTTTGTTTTAAATTTTGACCAACCTATTGCCCTATCCACTTTCTGTTTTAAATTTGTAGTACCAGTGTACCACCCACCATGCATCCAATTTTTAAAATGATATTTTTTATACATTCATATATT